TCTTCTAATTATTGATGGATCCTTGACCCAGGCGTCTCATTTTTGCTGGTCTTACTATATTCTTTTTTTCTCTGAGTTTGCTTAAGCAGTAGGCAAAGTAATCGCCTACTCTACCTTCCTGTTCATTAGATTTTTTCCCAAGGATGTCATTCGTCTCCATTTATTATTGTATTTTTCTATTTTCTATTACTTCATGCAATAACTCCATATTACAATACTTTTTCCTAGGATTTGTTCTGTTTCTTGGCTGATCTTATTAATCTGAATTTACACAGGATACTTTTGACTTGAAACAACTAAACGCATATAGAATGCCAATTTAAGTACGGGCCGTTCTCAGCTTTGCTTTAAAACAGGTCGTCTGTTATTTATAGAATCACATTTCACGGAGGCTACGAATGCTGTATCGAGAATAATCTGATAGAATTATATAAAAAATTTCTGATATCATCTAAACCGACTCTTATCGATATTCTTATAGAATTGTGATCATTGCCCCTGCTGGTTACTAGTCGTTATTTCATGTAAATGTATATACAGCACTCTGTCTAGTACATCTTCGGAAGTGTATGTTTAACGTATAGTTATTAGCGAATACATATATAAGCGAAATATCACTTAGGTCTTGATTATCTTGTTCAATTTTTGCTGTTTCTAAAATTAAATCATCATGCTTATTATCCTTATCTCCTATTCTTTCTGTCGGCCCTCTTGCTCAGGTTGTCTGCGCCGGTCCCTTTCCTCCTGCAGATGGTACGGGTCAAACGGCTATAGTTCCGGCCCCATTGGTTAGTCCCGGTGTTGCCAACATGACTAGCGATGGGCCTGGTGGCTCGTTCTACAGACCACTGGCGTCGCCTTTGAAAACAGGCCAAGCACGTCTGATAACTCAAGGCACAAAATTCGAGGCCTGTCTAGTTCTCTTCATGCTTCGTTACTTCTTCACAATGGCTAGTAGCCTCTGGTGGCTTATGCTAACCATCGCTTGGTATTTGGCCGCCAAGTGCCATTGGGCACATGAGGCAATTTCTCGTAATGCACAATATTTTCATCTAGCTGCGTGGGCTCTTCCAGCTGCCAAGACGGTTGGACTGCTTGCTCTGGGCAAAGTGAGACAATATGATTTGGTATCCTATACTTTTTATGTTGTTCTGCCTCAAGTCAGCAATCACCACTTTTCTGCAAGCATGTGGGCAAAACCGGGAAGCAATGAACCAATTCTTCAGTCCTTAATTAAGTGGATAAGTCTAGGTAATAAGAAGTAAATATGCTTGCAGCCGGCTTCTTTATAGTCTTAGTTTATGATAGAGTTTCCTTAAGAATGGCTTTGTGCTGACGACGTCTATAATATGGCATATGGAAGCTCATAACGGATTCGCCGGGGTTGTTGGATGGTTCGTCGGGGACAGCTTCACATAACTCCAGTTATGGCTTCAGGGCAATCTTCGTTTTCCGGTGAGGCAAATTTACAAATCCTTTGCAGTCGAGGACGAGATGATAGATACAGCAACATGAGTTTATTAATGAATTCTTCTAAACCCAATTTCTACTTTTGCTTGATATCTGCATTCGCCACCATTACAATATTTTTTAGTATTTTTAATTATGCTTTTCCTCAGTCTTTTAATTAGTTTTAGTTTTAATCCTTTCCCCTTATTTTGTGTGCTAGATATCTCACTTATCTGTTTGGATCTTTTCATTATTGTTCTTAAGTATTCTAACTAGTAAACGCCTCTGTGTTCATATAGTTTTGCAAATGAGAAATCACTAGTCATTCCTATCCTTTAATACTAAATTGAATTTATGCATACATGGTAACATCATTACTCGTATCGCATAAGGGAGTTTTAGCCGTATGTAATGACAGGCAAATATGCATCGGTGTGGTTATCTTGACTCCTGGAGTTACTTAGTGTCGTCAAATGTCGTCGCTGGATATACATACTGATAAATTCACCACTTCATTACTTAATTTGTTTTCTTTGATAGCTTTAGAAGGAAGTGCCAATATTTCCTTAGTCTGTTCTTCGTCCATTTGTGGCTATAATGACTGTTGAGCTTACTTCCATTTCGAGTGAAGGTGTTTGGTGAAGAGATTCGAAGGCCGATCCCATCAGAAGACGACGGCGCATCAGCAGGAGTCAGCTGTTTTCTTCTGGTGGGATCGACCTTCGAATCTCTTCACCAAACACCTTTACTCGAAATGAAAGTGAGCTCAATAGTTATTATAGACACAAATTGGCAAATAAAAACGGGAAATA